ACCAGTAAAGCTTTCTTTGTATGTGATTACAGTTGACGAGCGAGCGTTTCACACTACTTATGATTGAGGGCGCTGTTAATCCACAAATGGTGGCAGCACATATTCCTCATTGTATAGTCTTCTATAACTTCTAGCAAACACAAACAACAGTAAGGACCATTTCCACGTCATGAACACCCATACCAGAGTGACATAATATTCTGATGACTTTTCTATAGGGGTAATATCTGGAAAAATAAAATTAATATTCTGTAAAATACATGAATATGTAGTTTGGTAAGAAAATGTTTTAGGATATCATAATTCATGCTTAAGACAATTTCATTATAACTTTTGAATGAAAATATTCATACTGTAAGATACTTTAGCTGGAATTAATTTTCATTGAAAAGACTTTTGGGTGTTTTTTTTAATTTTATTATCCTCATAGGTCCTAACAAATATAAACATAAGATTTTCTTAAAAACATGCCCAGTGACCCCGATAAAATAATCTTCCAGTGTACCAAAAATGAGAAAATTCAAAGACATCAGTCAACGTGAATCACACTAAACTTTGTCTTCATACAAAAAATGTTGTTTCTGTCGCTGCTACCACGCCATGCATTACCATATTGCTTCACTGCATAATTTGAGAAACTAATAATTTAATGAAAAATAACATCTCCAAATTGTAATGAAAAACATTTCACGATGTGTGAACAAGTGCGTTCGGGGATGGGATTCTGTTTCCATCATGCGCTTCTACGTCTAAAGTAACCAGTGTTCCAATGTAACGTAAACATGATCCACAATAGTGGATATTCTGCTCACTGCGAGATCTCGCGAGATACCCGGACAATGGTTGTCAGCCCTGTGACACAGGTCAAGCTTTGGTTCAAAATGGCGTCCTTGCATAACGCTGTGCGTTGTTTGTTGACATTATTTCCACGCTTGCGATCCGTTTGTTTTATCGTTCTTTTTTCATTTATATGATGGATGATGTCAACAAACACACAGTGCCACGGCTCAAGAGCCTTTTACGTAAATTTGGTGTTTCAACATCTAATTCTACATTCCTTGCAGATGCTGGATGTGACGACGTTGGAACATTGCCTCTGATAAAGTACATGCTCGGCTAAGTGCCCATCCCCTTCAAAATGCTTTTAATTTGACTGTCTAATCACAAAACTTGGTAAATGCTTTTATATAATACAGCGTGGATATCCACCACCGTAAATATGTTGTAAACGCGTTGACCACAGTAACCGTGCATAAACTACACTTCGACAATGACCTGTTAATAAAAGTGGAATGCGGCAAATACTTCATGCCATATTCAGTTTACCTATCAAAAATTGCTAGTTACTAGTTTTTAGAAAAATCATGCCGTTTATTCGCTGAAATCTATTCCAACAGATCGTACTTTGACACTGAAAATTCACTTCCGCACTACGTTACCAGAAATCTTGGGAAATTCCCAAAGAATTACAGCATTCTGATTGATTAATAACAGACTTGACCCATTAGGTCAAATCATGCAAAAATATATGTCATGGCGAAAAGTGCTGTTCATCTTGAGTTTGTGTACGATCCAAAACATTTGACAATGAACATAATGATGAAAATCTTGACTTTGAATGTGTTCCAACAGACTAATATTTTAAGCTCGTAATTAATATTGTAATAAAATGTGACCATTTCTGTTTTTTCATTCAATGACAACGCAATTAATTTTGTAATTTTATTTCCCTCAAAGATGTGATATCTCCCCCAATCTGTCTCATAGTTAATTAAAATTGTCATGTGTACTCTTTTCCGAGGGGGTGCTCGGTTATGCACCCACCACTAAATAATTATGATTTTCTGAGTGAGGACACTGGGCGCTAATGTGGTCGAGTACTGTAAGTGTCTTGCGTGATCAAGTGTCTTTCAAAGTCATCGGCACGAGAACAGGCATTTCCCAGGTTGTGTTTTTGGTTTTAGATGAAATAGAGAATCGCTCTTGCATTCATCATAAGAGCGTTTTTGTACAGTCGATATTGTTATGTGAACGGAATACGGTGCAGTAAACAATGGCGCTACCACCATCTCTAGGGAAAAGCTTGACCTGTGTCACATGATCAAAACTGGTTGCCAAGGACGTAAAGCTTGACCACGCGAGATCCCGCAGTGAACAGAATATGGCTTATTACCAAATAAAGAAAACATTATAATTCGTCCATAACACTTTCGAACACCCTCGTATGGCATTTTATGGACGGGTAAATATCTTATTGATACTTACGTTGATGTTGTATAATGCCGTAACTCATATATACACCGAATGCCGGCAAGCATCCTAACATGACAATAAACCCCAGCAGTTCTAAATAAGATAACCAATGATAGAAATAGCGCCACCACTCTTTGATATGTTGTATATGTAGAAAAAATACTATTGCTGAAAACACACCTACAAATAAACAATAATTGCAAATTAAATAGCGCCACCACTCTTTGATTTGTTGTATATGTAAAAAAAATACTATTGCTATTTCAAATTACAGATTACAATAAATTATAATATCACATCCTCGGGGGCGGAGCTACGTCACAAGACGTTCTACGTTGCTAAGACGCGCACCACTGTACCACATATTTGTATGGGCTCTGTGCACTGCTGTGGAACGCCGGTCGAGCCGGTGAAAATTTGAGAAAACAACACAAACTCAACTTTGAAGTAATCCTGAACAACCGAATTTATATATGTTACACACGCAGGGGTAATCTTGTTACACTGTTCAGGGGACTCTCAACAACCATCCCAATGTACTCCTTTC